TTTTTCTCAAACATGCTTAGAAATGTGAGCATTATTTTGACAATCTTCTTTGAGATAAATCAAACTTGCCGTACTGGCCAAGATACATGCGGGCAGTGGCCGGCAAAAGTTGTATGAAAATCCATATCTGTCGTGTTTTGCGGCCAGATAAATTACTATGTAAACTCATATCTGTCCTATAATTTAAAAATGGAATGACCTATTACTTCGAAACATGGCTACAAAGGAGGTAACTAGTAAAAAGTTTTATTTAAATTTCGAACTGGCTTGCAAATAGAAAGCTGTTTATTGAAAAAAAAAAAACAAAGGAACATTATGGCGCGAGAAAAATTATTATTGTTCGTTATTCGTCATTGAACTTAAAAATTGTGTTTTTGATTTCCGCGCATTGTTTGAGAAAAGTACTATACAAGCCTTGGCCACAACTAGGCATTGATGGACTCACGTATGTGTGCCTCGGCTTCGCCTCAGCCCACATTTGTACATTCGTCCACCAATGCCTCAGTTGCTGGCCGCTGCAGTAATGTACTATTATTTAAACAATAAAAAAGCACCTTATAGCAACGTGGCAGTTATGTATGTGAAAAGGTATAGAATATTGAAGAAATGAACGAATATGTACTTCTTGTAATATATTTTATTCCACAAACTAGCGGTCCGTCCCGGCGGCGCACGGGTGGACATTTTTACATTTTAAAAAGTGGCCATTAGGCTGCACACGCGACGGAAGCTTAAAAATGGTGTAACTTCTCCTGTTTTCCCAACATTTCCCTTCACTGCTCTGCTCCTATTGATCGTAGCGTTATGAAAAGTATACTATAACCTGCCCAGGAGTATGAAGATTAATTGTACTAAGTTGCGTTAAAGTTTTTGTTTCTATAACGAATATACAGACAGACAGACAAAAATTTTACTGATTGCATTTTTGGCATCAGTATCGATAGTTATTTTGGAAATATATTTCATGTACAGAATTGACCTCTCTACATAATTGCCTTATAATATATATATATATATATATATATATATAGCCCAAAATTATATTACACCTCAATAAAGTGAAATACGGCCGACTCCACTGCCACCATTGTTCCCGTTAGATAGTCGTACAGCAAGTAGGTGCATCTAAAAAGTGCAACTCGATTGCAAGAGGCACGAGAAAAAAGACGCGCCGAAAACGCGCGGGCGACGACCGGCCGACGACCCCGGTGGTGTTAGACCTAACTGCCATCTAGCAGACGAACTGGTACTTGCGAGTTTGCGTGGGACGACACTTTTTTTCTATTCGTTTTGGGCATTGGCGTACTTAAGAACATTTTTCGGAGACCTGGCATTTTAAAAAGGGGCGTATGTAAGTACTCTTTACCAGAGGGAGACTGCACAAAACTCTGCTTTGGTACTTCTGCCTCATTCGTGTTTCTATCGTGAAGCAATTGGTTTTACATGGGTATTCTAATAAAATTAAGGGGAATAGAGGCGTAACACCTTAGTTCGTGGGGGAAGTAGGGATTGTTAGTAATGGGGATTAAAAGCCCCATTGCTAGCAATATACCCTGTCAGGTCGACCTCCTCGTGGTTCCCCCTGGAAACCATCGTGATTGATTTATTGTTAGATTTATCACGGTGAGCTGACCTGCTTCATTCTTACCTATCAACCCTCACTTGTGCCCCGCCGGTGTATACCGATAGCACAGGCGGGATTACTATTCCATTATCATCCATTAAAAAAAACCACCTTAGTTCTAAGGAATGGTAACGCATGGGGAATTTTATGGGCGAAACAGTATACTCTGTTATGTCCATGGTACTGCTCATGTCTGTAGGCGACGGTTACCACTTTCCATCAGGTGGGCTGTTAGCTTGTTTGCCATTCTAAGTTGTATAAAAAAAACACACATACCAGATTTTAAGTTCGATCCTTAGAAACATGATTGTGATAATCGCATCCAATTTGGCTTAGTAGTTTCTGCATGAAACAAACAGACAGAATAAAATTCTAAAAATTATAGTTTTGGCTTCTTAAAATAATTTATTAAGATTAAATGATCTTAAGAATCACTTATGTACAGACGTCGTCTCTAGTCACAATTTCATTATCACCATGCCAGCCGTTAACTGTCCACTGCTGGACATAGGCCTCCCCATAAAGGGGGGCTTTGCTAGTAGTTGCCACGCTTGACAGGCGCATTGGCAACTGCAATTACGCTTTTGGTGATGTTTTAAGAAGGACCCTGCTACCTATTTTTCCACCAAATTCCCTTAGTCGCCTCTTACGACAGCCACGGGATAGGAAGGGATATACCACACATTCTAAACCGAGGTTACATTTAATCTAATTAAAAATATTTCACATTAAATAATATTTCATTGATATTTCATATTAAAATGGCTTCCTTTTCGGCTCCGACTTAATCTACATATACTCTCTTTTCTTTATAATATCCTGCGTAATCCCATTGCACCAACATATCTTCGTGAGCGGTTTAACTTTCTGTATTCAGCGAAAAGCAATACTAGGACTCTTAATCGTTCTTTATTGCGAACTCCGATTCATTCTGGTCAAGCGTATTCTGACTCTTTTGTTGTGGCTGCAATTAGATTATGGAATACACTTCCTCATGAAACTAGAAATAGCCCAAGCATTGGGATTTTTAAAATCACGTCTGAAGAATTATTACCTCTCACAATGCCGATGTACGTACTTATTATATTTGTGTATTATATATAATATATATCTATCTATTTATATGTATTTATATATATTTTTATTTATTTATTTATACCTATCAGTCTTTTCAATTGTAACGACATTTTATTTATTTATTATAACTATAACATTTAAGTCGATCGGTACACATGTATGACTGTAACTACTAATGAACTGTCAGTTTTCTCATATTGGGTTTGTTGGAAGAAATCTCCATTGGAGATAAGCTCGCCTTTATACACTATTATGTTTGTTTTTATATTTTAATAACCTTTTGTGCACAATAAATAATAAAGAAAGAATATATAATAATATTAAATAATAACATGTATATAAGAATATAGTCGCCAGAGATGGATCCTTTATGTAGCGTTGATTGATTAATTAATTATAAATCCTTCACTCGGGTTGTTCACACCTGGTCACGGTCCATTAGCTGTCAGAGATGCGTATTTTTTTCTTTTTCATTCCCGCCAAAAACACTCCAATTAAATTGCGACCTTATTATAATAAAGTGTTAACGCTCAATTCTAAAAACCATAATAAATATTACCGATTCTGATCGGTTTGAATAGGTATAAATATAAACAAGGAATTTCTATGCCTATAGAGTTATGACCAGTTTCTCTTGAGCTCCTACGTCCCTTTAAGAACTGAGATAGTAGATGAGAAAAATGGATTTATATGGAAATTTGGGGATCACGAGCGAATGGTAGGTAAAGAATTTGCGTGTGTTCAAATTAGAAGAGTTAGCGTTTTCATTGTGTACTTTTTTTTGCAACTTAGAATGGCAAACAAGCTGACGGCTCACCTGATGGAAAGTGGTAACTGTCGCCTGTAGACATGAGCAGTACTGTTTCGCCCATCATACCTCCATGCGTTGCCATTCCTGAAACACGAATTGGACAGAGGTACCCAAGCAATCGACTTTTGTACAAAGTCTCCCTCACAAAACCGACTTCATATGTAGCAAAACTAATTTGATTAAAAAAGTACTTATATTACAAACTCGATTTTGATAAAATGTCTTTAGAATCAATCTGTAAACATGTCCTTTCATATATATAAAAGAATTTTCCAAATTGGTTTACAACGGACGGATTTGGGAGGAAAGCGATTGTTAGTAATGGGGCGTAACAGCCTCATTGCCAGCAATATACCCTATTAGATCCATTGTGGTTTAATTATTGTGGAATTCGTCACAATGGACCAACTAGCTTGACTTCATCCTCAGTTATCATCTCTCACTGGTGTCCCGCCTGTGTGTACCGATAGCGCGGGCGAGGTTAATTCCATTTTCAACCACAAAAAAACGGACGAAGTTATGAAGTAATAAACTTAAAAAAATACATCCGAATTGATAATCTGAAATGGTATTGTTTATCGAATTAGAAATATTCGTGTTTCTACCGTGAAGCAGTTGTGTTTGCATGGCTGTGTTTCGGTTGGAAGGGTGGGGATATGGCGTGAGTTTACTGGGTATAGAGGAATAACATCTGAGTCCTCAGGAATGGCAACGCATGGGGGTATCATGGGCGAAACAGTAAACTCTGTTATGTCCATGGTACTGCTCATATCTATAGGCGACGGTTACCACTTTCCATCAGGTGGGCCGACAGTTTGTTTGCCATTCTGAGTTGTATAAAAAGAAATAGTTTTAAATAAATGACTTTTAAAGGCATTTTTGCACAAGTACTCCGTAATTAAAACTTGAGAGGACATTGCGAAAGATAGTAGTGTTTTTTTACTTACAGCGTATGAAATTATTTTATTAGTATTACTAATAATAATTGTCTATACCTATCTTGTCGCTATCGCTCATGACTTGCGTCCGGGTCCCCTGTGTGGGCGAAGGTGAACGATTCGTCAATACGAGTCATTAGCGGACCCGAAAGTCAGCAAATAGTGATGTTCTTTGTGCTGTTTCGGGTCTGAGTCATTGCTGTGCACAGCCTTATATTTATTTGTGTCAATGACACTGAAGAATTGTTATTTTTTGCAGCGTTGCATTAGATCGAGTATGAATAACGTTTACAAATTTGTATGGGAAGTAAATATGGCAACTGAATCCCAGGAAATTATAGAACGTTTTTATTTTTTTATAGTTAGTATTTTTTTATACCACTGAGGTGGCAAACAGACATACGGCTCGCCTGATGGTAAGCGGTTACCGTAGCCTATGAACGCCTGCAATACCAGGGGTATTACGCGCGCGTTGCCGACCCTGAAGAAACCTCTTTACACTTCCACATATAATGAAACTCAATTATATTAACAATGTCTTCATCCACAGCTGAAGTCACCGACGGAGGAGAGCGCTGGCGATGCCATAGAGAACGGCGAGGCACCTCCAGCCAACGGCTCCATCTTCACCATGACCCTCAAAAACAACCATCTGATTGTGGAAACTGAAGAAAGAAATGTAAGCAAAATTAAATGTTACTTAGGTACTTACCAGTTTCTTGAAAATTATTGGACTACCTGATGGAAAGTGGTAACCGTCGTCGAAAAATATGAAACGTATTTATACATTGGGATGCTCACAGTGCTCCTCTTGCGTTGTCATTTATGACGACTAGGGCGTTATGTTTTCATACCCTGTAATTTAACAACCATTCTACCCGTCGAACCAAAATACTTCTCAGTTATTTAATAAATAATTAAAGAACGCGTTTTACAAAAAAAAAAATCAAGTTCAATTGTGGCAAAGTCAGTAATTTAAATTTAAGAACTTATACCTAATCGATTTTTATAATATTTCACTTACTAACATAAATAAACATTCTCTCAAAAAGTATATATAAAAACAAGAATTTTCCAAATCAGTTATTCATAAATGGGGTAATAATCATAAAAAATACAAGAGAATTGAAATTGGTTAAAAATCACATTTAGTTTGTTGGCTTTAATTTTCACGTCTATTTTTAACATTACAATAAAATGCTATTACAGATGCAAGTACGTACTCTTTGATACTCTGTAACAAAGTTTAAATCACATAAATTTATTTTAATTACAGGATATCACTAAAAATGGCCGCGAAACGAAAATGAAGTACTCCCCAGACAACGACGGGATATTTGTTGTCGAAGTACAACAGTCGACTGCTTACAGGCCCAATAATAATAAATCTCTCCAAAATTCACCACCTCACGATCCTCAAATATCAACAAACCAGGCTCTGATCCATCGTGTTCCTGAGGAGTTAGACAAAAAGATTGATGAAGAAAGAAGTAGCGGGAAATTTGAGAGAGAAAGGACACTAGCTTTATCTAGTACTGGATTATCGATATCAGATTTAAGTATGTCTTCTATCGGGTCTCACAACGTCAGCTACTCTTATGGAAGCCAGGTGGGGTATGAACAAGGACCATTTGGATATCCACTCTATGCTGGCTACGATATATCTAAAGACGAAGTGGAGGGTATAGTTTATGATAACTCACAGGAACCTTTAATATCAAAAACACCGACTGATCCTGATAAACCTGTTGTGACAGCTGCTATTTTCAAACAAGATTCAATTATTGGTAACGACGCTTTGCAAGGGCCCGGTTATTGTATCGAAGGTTCTAGTGACGGTCCCTTACTATCCGATGTTCAAGCTCGAGAGTACAGTCTCCAACACTTATATGACCAAAGAGAAAAAAAGATAGAAAACGGTGTAGCTGTACCGATATCTGATAAAAATGATTCTCCGAAAAAAGCTGTAAGTAGAGCTGATAGTTTGCCGGTTCGGTTAGAAGAAGATAAAGTTCCAGATAATGTCATTGTGATTGATCAAAATTCTGTAATGGAAACAATTAAAGAAGATGACGTACCTAAAGAAGCGTTTAAAGGGAAAAGAGCGTCATTGCCAATCATAAGGACTGATATGTACGAATCGGTCAAAGATGCTATATTGCCATCTGGATCACCGAAGTTTGAGAAGCTGATGAATGATGCTTCTCCGAGTGATAATATCTTTGAACCACCGCCGATGATCACTATAACAGAGGAGAACGAGTCTGGCAAGTCTGAGGTGGCTAGTTAATTTCCAGGAGGTCCACTTTTACTGCATGTATATAGATGTAAGCCAAAATGTGATTAGAAAGTTTGGGAGATATTCGAATTTTTGGTGAGATATTGATTCGGCACCAGCATTCTTGTTAAATTCAATTGTATTTTCCAAAGAATTTTGATGACACTATTTGCATATTATTTTTATATTTTGATTATTTATAGAACCTAAAAGATTTAGAATTAATTGTAAATGCCGAAATTTTTCAACTTTGTAGAATAACTCTTCTTTATAGATAACTAGAAAGCATGGCAGACTACCGTTATCCATAGTTTATGTGAAACCCTTATGAGGTTAATCTTCCATAGATACAGTAGATAGAGTTTTTGAATTCACTACACCTATATTCTCTGACATTCGAGACACTTTCATTGAAGCTAGATTAAGTGTACTTTGTGATAATTATGTGACTTATTGGCCACATTAGGTCCTGTTCTTATCGGATATAGTTCTCTTACGGATTTGTTTATTTCATTTCATAAAATTATATAATACAATTGTTAGATATTAATATATTACTCATCTGTTCGGAGCTGGTGCCGTCATAGAGCGTACACTATTAGTTGTAATTTTGTAAAATTTATCAGATTATTGTAGTTCCAGTGATAATCTAAGCTTCTGTGTCGGCCTGTGTTACGTTATATATGAAAATACTTTTGTGTTGGAGTTAATTGTTGCTGTTTCTATGTAGTTACCGTTGGACCGTCTGTGTGTTGCTCAGTAGCTGTCTAACTTTATCTAAATGTACGTATAGATTTAGCGTGACATTCATTCTGACATATGGTCGTTATATTTGAAACATTACCCGTATTTATAGTATTTTCTGTGCATTTTATATTACGTTTAAGTTCAGTATAAGTTACTATTGTAAAATATTTTTATAAATTAAGGGTGTAAATTACATTTTATAATTTCTGTAGAGTATTATGTTTTGTATGTATGTATGTATGTATATATAATTATTGGGTTACTAAGTATATGCGTACAAACTAACAGTACGATAATGTCGTTGTGCCACAAATTAGGTTTTAATATGTATAGAATTGTACGTATGTATATCTGATAACGAATGATTGTTGGCAGTTATATGTAGTGTGCATTGTTAATGATAGTTTTCATCATCAGTATACTTGTGATGATCTAATAATATCATCATTTAAAATTTCCAAGGGGAGTTACTACTTTATCATATATTACTTTATTATGCTATTAGCGATAAGGTCACGCATTTGTTTTCTCACTATGATTATTTCTTGTAATTTGTTTGTATCTATAATGAGTTTGCTATTGTAATCTTTTGGAGGAAACAATAAAGAATATCTATCTATCTACTTAGTTGATAATTCCAATACTCTACTGAGTATTGGAAATATCAAATGTGAGAAACTGCTATATGTCCTGTTTGCTACGGCCTTACTATATAAAATATTTAAACCTACAGTTTAACCGTTTATTAAACAAATTTAAACTACTATTTATCTAAACAGATTTTAACAAAACTGATCTGTCTAAGTGATCAAATATTGTTTAGTCAATGTCCAAAATTTATAGATTATTATAATCAACTTTATTACTTTTTGACCCGTTTTTGAGGCTCGATGCTCTCTCTGTCTGTATAATTTAAACAGTGTATATTGTGTCGTCCATGATACTCTTCATGCGTTGCTCTTCCTTAGTATTAAAGCCTCTGCATCATCCATGAAAACTCAACTGCTTCAAGGTTGAAACACGAACGGGACAGAGGTACCCAAGGAGACGACTTTTATACAAAGTCCCCTTTGGTAAAAATAAGTTTATTTATTCATTTATTTTACACTTTATTGCACTATTTATAAAATAGTAAATACATTTAAGTTCATACATACTATATTTAACTGCCATACTTAATGAATTATTCACACCAATTTTGCTTGTAGTGTAAGTTAGTTTTCGTGAAATATATTATAAACTTTATTTGTTAAACTTCTAATGAGGAGTTCCCATGTGTTTCATATTTTTTTTTATACAACTTAGAATGGCAAACAAGCTGGCGGCCTACTTGAAGGATAGTGGTAACCGTCGCCTATAGACATGAGCAGTACCATGGACATAACAGAGTATACTGTTTCGCCCATGATACCCCCATGCGTTGCCATTCCTGAGGACTCAGGTGTTATTCCTCTGTACCCAGTAAATTCACGCCATATCCCACCCTTCAAACCGAAACACAGCTATGCAAACACAACTGCTTCACGGTTGAAACACGAATGGGACAGAGGTACCCAAGCAATCGACTTTTGTACAAAGTCTCCCTCTGGTATATGTATATACGTTATATTTTTTTACTAATTTGTTTTGCCCTAATAAACTATTGGATTGTTTGATTTAATGTTAAATTGGGAACGTACATAAGTACTGGAGCTGTGTAATCTCTCTAATTGCACAGGCTTATGTTGAAATCTTTACCATAATATGTGTTCCATTAACACCCAAGAAGCATGGGTCAAATAATGATAAAAATGTTGAGCTCCCCATACAAACAAATTAGTATGGAACAATCAAAGTATTTTGTCGTTTTTGAATTTTAATCGAATTTCTGTTTTTTTTTTTTTTTTAATATAGCATGAGTGGAGTTTACGTTTCACGTATTGTTAAAGAGTTTAATTTCTTCCTATTTTATATATAAGTAATATATTATATTATATATAATTTAAAAAACTAAAATGTTATCTACTAAAACTGATCATTGGCCTCATTCTATTTTTGGGCACGACTACGTCCTCGTAATACATATATATATATATATTGGGTGAAAATGGAATGGTAACCTAGTGGTAAGGACGAAAGCAGGTCATTTGGTCAACCGAGATGAATTCAACAAGAATTAACCATGACAGTTTTCAGGAGGTACCCAGTGGAGGTCGACTTGGGGTTTTAGACTCCAATGAGTAACAATCTATTTCCTCTGGTGGGACTTAGTGGTGGAATGTTACTGGGTTGTTTCGGCATTACTTTTGGAGTTTTTATTTAGCTGTCATCTGGCATTGTAAATAACGAGAGTTTTACTAATTTCAGGCGTTCCTAAATGCACGTACCTATTATAGAATATGTCGAAAAACTAAAATTGTACAATATTATTTATGTCTAATTTCAACATTAAAAAAAAAACATTAATTCTAAAATAATAATTGTATTTTGTTTTTTAATTAAAAATAAAAAGCAAATATGTGATGGAAAGAGTCAATACTGTACAAAAAATACTTAATTTTTTGTAACCATTATTTATTCTACAATCAAAATTAAAATATTGATTTTTATTTAAAGAATTTGGTAAAAATATTTGAATAAATAAATAATTAATTTACAATAATATTTATTCATGAAAATATTTATATTTATTGTTAAAATTCAGTCACAATATACAATGGCGGATTTGCAGTGTTGGCCGCCCTGGGCCCCCGGCCATGTAGTATGTACCAGCCACCAGTGTCTCAGCACCCATCATGTTGAGTACATAATGACATTTACTTTTTTGACAACATTTATCGAAATCTGTTAGTTGGTAATATTTTCCGAGGTCTCTTTTAGTTATATGTACTTTGAGTTATTTCTTGTCATATCAGTGAATTTTTTGTCACGATTGGCCGCCCCTAATATGGCTAGGAATGGCAACGCATGGAGGGTATCATGGGCGAAGCAGTATACTCTGTTATGTCCATGGTACTGCTCATGTCTATAGGCGACGGTTACCACTTTTCATCAAGTGGCCCGTCAGCTTGTTTGCCATTATAAGTTGTTTAAAAAAAAATCTGGCCGCCCTAAGCCCGGGCCTCCTGTGTCTTAAGGCAAATCCGCCATTGACAATATATCTTACTTTATTAACATAATTATTATATTACATTTTATGTAACTATATATTATTATAATTTTTTAATGATATCATAATGTGACATGTTACTGCTCTCGCCAATGTGTCTGCATTTGTTTCTAAAATTATATTTCCCTTGCTAGTGCTAGTGCTAATATTTTTGTGTATTTAAGTTTAAAATTATTATGTATAAAGTAATATAAAAGAGTATAAAATATATTCAGTTTTAGATTTAGTGCCGTCCGTGTAACAATCGAATGTTTACGTGCCAAGCAATCTTGAACTTTATCGTTTCGTTATAGGACATAATATTATATATGATTAGATTGTGATCGGAATATGGAAATTCTGAACAAAATGACGTATGGATTTTAATATATTTTAACGCTATTATTAATAGATATTATTAAAAATTACGACCAAATTAGGTATATTTTAATTAAAGAGGAGTTTAATTTAATATTTTTTTTTAAATTTAATAATTATGAATGACATTGATTAAATAATTTATTATTATTTAACTCTTTATTGCACCAGAAACATAATAAAAATATACAATGACAATTGAATAATTCAAGTATATCTATATATATTTTTTTATTAGTTTTATGTCACAATAATATATTAATAAATGATTATATCGTTATTGTATAATTTTTGATCAAAGAATTATTGTATTTATATTCGAAATTAATATATGGAAAATTACATTCATATTTTTAGCATTTTTTAATATTTCTCAATAGCAATTTATAATATTTTCTCCTTGTCTTTCTGCACACGTTCTTTGTAAATAAAAAAAAATAAATAAAACTATATACATACATTATTCTAAAATCCATATTTTCACTTTGTTCTTGATTTGTAAGCGTTGTAAAAATGGGGACAAATTTATAAATAATGTTAAGAAGATTAACTAAATATTATTAGATAGTCATTATTAATTTTTATCATGGTGTCTATTGATTTTTATTTGCATCTGTAATTTTTATATTTTATTATTATTCTTATTATATGATTAATTTTATAAATAAAATTTTAAGTAATTTGCAAAGTCAATTTGTGTTTAATTTTTCTTTAATAGTATTTTTATGTGTGCTCCATTGATTCGAGCCCCATGATCGAATTAGCAATGAGGAGGCCCTGCTTGGGGTTAAGGAGAAAAGACAAATTATTAGAACTATTGAGGACAGAAGGGGAAAAATGTTGGGACACTTGATACGACACGACGAACTTATGAACATTATAATAGAAGATAAGATAGAAGGAAGAAGGGGAAGAGGGAGACCGAGACATAGTTACATCAGGCAGGTCAAGGAAGGTGTTGGTGTCGTGTCGTATCAAGAGGTGAAGAGACTGGCTGAAAATCGTAGTGAGTGGCAAGATCTCCACCGACAAGAGCGCAGCTCTTAAATAGGAAAAAAAAGTATTTTTATGATATTAAAAAAGACAAGCTTACGGCCCACCTGATGGAAAGTGTTAATAATTATTAATAAACAAGATAATAAATATCACAGAATACTCTGTTACTGTCATGGTACCCCTCATACGTTGCCACGAAATATAACCTTCCTTTTGTTTGATTAACTTTTAAATTTTACAGTTTTTTTTTACAATGGATATATATATATATATATATATATATATATATATATATATATAATGTTGGTGTCGTGTCGTATCAAGAGGTGAAGAGACTGGCTGAAAATCGTAGTGAGTGGCAAGATCTCCACCGACAAGATCTCATCTCTTAAATATGAAAAAAAAGTATTTTTATGATATTAAAAAAGACAAGCTTACGGCCCACCTGATGGAAAGTGTTAATAATTATTAATAAACAAGATAATAAATATCACAGAATACTCTGTTACTGTCATGGTACCCCTCATACGTTGCCACGAAATATAACCTTCCTTTTGTTTGATTAACTTTTAAATTTTACAGTTTTTTTTACAATGGATATATATATATATATATATATATATATATATATATATATATATATATATATATATATATATATATATATATATATATATATATATATATATATATATATATATACATAAATTAAAACAACGATAAGCATTATGAGATATAATAACTATTGAGTAACCTGTAACTTAGAGCAGTATGAAAGTTGATGGAGGAAGAGGACAAAAACAGATAGCCGTGTTGCAATGCTACATTAATCAGTGTTTTCATATATAAAATTTACATTGTTACTTTATGGTTTCAGAATAAAAAAAATATTTTATCTTATGAAATAATATTGGGACTTAACAATTATTATTAAAAAAAATAAGCAAAATCGAATGGATATTACTATTGACGTGAAGGGCGAAGGTTAAATAATTTAATAACCTTATACTCAGGTCGACCTCCACACTGATCTCTCGGGCACTATCATGTTTCATTCTCGATAATACGTAGCGATAGGTTAATTGACCTGATGTTATTCCTATCATCTCTTACTGCTATTTTGCCTTAGTAGAATGTATTTTTTTAATAGGTAAAAATGAAATAGCGACTCCACTGTCGCTATTAATACAGTGATGAGATGCCAGTAGACAGTTGAAGGTATCTTTATAGGTGAAAATGGCATGGTAATCCTGCCTGCGCTGTCGGTATACACTGGCGGGGTACCAGTGAGAGGTGATAGGTGAGAATGAAAAGGCAGGTCAGTTAGCCCATTATGACGAATTCAATGATAAATTGGACACGATAGTTTCCAGGGGGAACCGCGTGGAGGTCGACCCGATGGGGTATATTGATAGCAATGGGGACTAACTTCCCCATTACTAACAATCCCTTCCCCCCAAGTTATAGTTATCAGACAAGGTACAGTACAGAGTATGACAGCAATGAGGCAGTTAGACTCCATTACTAATAGTCCATTTTCCTTTAGGCAGATGGGATTTTCATTCCTTTTTATTAAAAAAAAAACTATTATTGTTAGTCTATTTAACTATTATTGTTTGTCTTCATAGTTCCGTGAAAATTTCGCTAGAGGGTAGGAAAACTTTCTCGGCTTAATAGTTTCGTGAAAATTCCGATAGAGGGAAACTGAATTTTACAGCGCCCTCTGTGGGGTGGCTAAAGACTTTAAACAGCCCTTGTTTTATACCATGTACTTGATATTTTTTTTTAAATTATCTTACAGATTCCACTAAATGTGTGTAGATGGCTACTTTTCATAATAAAGATAAGTGATCCAAATGCATTATTGTGATTAGTTTGTAAGAA